TTTTGCTGGAAGAGGTGCTGGAAGATTGCATAAAGGGAATAAGTCGATTTTATTTGGCTTTAGTAATGTTATTTCTGTTTTGGTTTCGCAAATTGCTGATTTGATTTCTATTTTTCCAGGTTTTTCTGATGAAATAATAAAATGGTGCTGTTTTAAGATTTGTGGAACATTTCCAAACAATTCATTTAACAATTCATCCCATTTATAGAATTTAACTTCTTGAATACCGTTTAAGTTATGGACCGTTTGTGCTAAGTTATAGCCTCCGACGATAGAATTTTGAACAACTTGAATCATGTCTGCTAAGTTATCTACCTCAGAATTTTGAAGTTTTAATTTAATAAGTCCAAAAAATCCATCTGGTGAGAATTTAGTATGGCTAGCTACCATAAATGAATATATGATTCGTTTATGCAAATCATTTAAAACGCGCCACATTAAATATTTTATCATTGTATTATTTTTGTTTTGACCCGGGCAGTTGTCAGCATGGATAACAATGAACTTTTCTCCAAGACCATGATTTTCAAAATAATGATGAACTATTGAAATAACAGCGTTTGCTCCTTTTCCAACATCTTCATTTTCTTTAATTAAATAATTTATCTAAAAATATAAATTGATTTCAATATTAAAAAATTTTTAACCATTTTAAAAAAGAATTTATTTAGTATTCGCCCGAAGTGAAATTCACCATGATATGTTTTAATCATTATTATATAGAGATCCATAAAAAATTTATCACAAAATTTAAGGCTAAACTTTAGGGTTAGGGTTTAGAGCTTGAATTAAGATAGAGTTTTTAGGGCGTTGGATATTTTACTTAGTTTACCAAATATCAATTATCAAAGCTGTTTTTAAGAAGCAACATATCTGGTAAATTTCGTCTCCATGAGAATTAAAATCATTCTTTAAAAAAATTAGCTTAAATAATGAATACCTGCCATGGAAAAGCTTCTTCACATATTCCAAAGATTGAAACTTTATATAGTGATTTGAAGTAAATTGATCCCTCAAAAAATAAAAATCATCAATATGTAATTTAATTACAGTATTCTATTATAATACTATATGGTACTGCATATAGTATCTTCTTGAAAAAGTATCGTTTTAAATAGTATCAGGATACCATTCAATTGTGGGTTCTAATATTTTTGAAAAGTATTTCAGCGCTAATCAAATAATTTGAATCAACGGTCTTGTTATACAATCAACTCACACGATTAATACTCTTTTCAGTATACCCCTTGTATAGTATCCTTTTCTTTATATATTACTCCGTGTATTATTTAATTTATCTTGGCAATTTTAAAAAAAGACCGGAAGTACTATATGCAGTACTGTATTATAAGTACGTACTACTGACTTTTATTAAGATAGTTTAACTGATTTGACAAGTTTCTCAAAATTAAAATTTTAAAATAATAATTACTTCTTGTTGGGAAGAATATGGAAGATGTACAGCTTCGGCAAAATCCCACGAAATATGATTCTCAAATTCTAAAGAATTTGGTACGCCTGGACGTGAGAGTATAGATATATCATTAAAAAATCTTAATTGTTCTTTTGTATTAAGTATACATCGCCTAAAATTTTATAAAATAATTGTTATATAAAAAATAAATCTATTATTATAAAAGATTAGGCCCATTAAGAAGTTTTTCCCAGGTAGTATTTTACGCTGATTATCTAGCTGTTCTAGTATTGCTCATAATTAAAGCTCAGAATCACCTCAATATACTTATACGGTAATAATTTTTTATTAAGCACTTAACAGCAATAAATAAAAATATCTTTGATCATACTTCTATAACTTTATACCTATATTAGAGTTTTTAAAGTTAAGGTATAGCAAACTCATGAATAGTTATTGAATTTTTTTTTAACCAAGTTTGATATCTTACTACATGATTACCTGCTATATTAGCTATATTTTCTGACACCAAAATAGCTCTTTATCATTACTGTGTTTTTGAGCTTTAATTATAATGTAAACTATATTTTCTATAAACAATACTAGAACTAGAGATGTACCACACGCGAAATAACAAAGCTATCGCATTTGTGACCTTGTGCAAAATAAACCATTCAATTAAGAAAAGTTTAAACTTTCACAATGAAGTTGTGCATGAGATATATAAAATATATACTAGGTTAATCATGCAATAGATACATCTCTAACTAGGACAGCTCTGGTTATCAAAAATTATATATTTTAGAACAATTAATTCTAATTATAGATTTTCTTACTTATAATACTCCCGTTCTTGATGTGCCCAATTGATATGATCATTCCATTGTTGAACATTTTGATCTCGTTCACTTTCTGCCCAAAATTGAGCATTAAATCGCATGGTTTTACATAACATACATAGGTCACTTCGAGGTGATAAAAAGCGAATTTCTGGAACATATTTTTTCCAAATTCGTACAAAAGACCATCGACTAATGTGAAAATCAGAAGTTTCATCTAAACTTGATTGATAGATACGGTAGAGTTCAATATAGCTTTCACTTGCAGGAAGGAATGTAATAACCATAGTATCTTCAAAAAAATGACGGCCTAATAATATTTTTATTTATGCATATTGTATTAATTAAAAAATATATACAATTTCAAACCTTTTAGGAAGCTAATATTTCCACATCCTATTTAATATTTTCACACCCATATAGATCATTCTTTTAAACTTTTGATTAAAGGTATCTTAATAAATTTCATTAAACTTTTTTTATTTGAATTCTATGAATCCATAGAATTCAAATAAAAAAAAAGTACATTGGATTTATTAGGTGGTTGTCGAAATATCTTTGATCAAAGTCAGAAAATATTTTACTACGGCTTATCGTTTAATTAAAACTTTAATCGAAGATATCTCGACAACTACTCTATGAAATTCAATGTACTTTTTTTTATTTGAATTCTATGAATTCATGGAATTCAAATAAAAAAAAAAAGTATATCGGATTTCATTGAGTAATAAAGTATATTGAATTTTATTGAGTAATTGTCGAGATATCTTTGATCAAAATCAGGTGACATTTCCTGCGGCCTATATTTTGGTAAACGTTTAAAACTTTAATCGAAGATATCTCGACAACTATCTTATAAAATTTAATGTGCTTTTTTTTATTTGAATTCTGCGGATTCATAGAGTTCAAATAAAAAAAGTTCAACAAAATTTATTGGATAGTTGTTGAGATACCTTCGATTAAGGTTTTAAAAAAGTGTGCTCTACATGGGTGTAGAAATATCAAAAATGGGTATGAAAATATTAGCTCCCAACTTTATTCATTTATAATTTAAAAAAAGATTGATATAACTAGTATCTCTATATCAATTTACCCGGTGATAGCAATCCATGACAATTTGAATAGTTAATTATAAATGTAAGAACATTTAAAATAGTCGCAAATGATAAAGCGCGATAAGATTTTCTTCCTGTAAGTGCGTGTACCATTGGTTTAATACCATTGTCCCGGTAATGGTTACGAATATTTCTCCATTTTTTTTCTGATAGTGAATATATAGTTCGAAAAGCTATTTCGCAAATTTCATTATTATCAAAAGTATATTTAACGGTTAAGTATTGTTTTTCTTTACCATGCAAAGTTGTATCTTTAGAACGAATCATTGCATGAAGCATTCCTAAAAGAAGCATGTTATATTCTGTTTTTGATAATTTTCGAATACTATCAAAAGTTTGAAACGCAAGTTCATGATCAATTGTAGTTAAACACATTTTAGTTTTACAGCAAACTAATGTATGAAGTTTAACAAAAAAAGCCTCCTTTTCCTGCTGATCTAAAATAACCGTCACTTTCTCGTCAGTTTCTTGCTCATCATCACTTTCTTTAATAGTATGTTGAGCAAATATTTTTTGAAATTTTTCGATTTGTAAAGGCGCAAGAATTTGGTTATCAGATTTTTGTATTTTTTGTATATTGTTATATTCTATATTTTCAAGAGAAGATTCTTTTTTATTTAATGTTTCTTTTAATTCTAACTCATAATCGTCGTTTGTTTGATAGAACATTTTAAGCTGATTAAATTCTTTTGCTAATGAATATATTTCCAAATGTGTCTCTAAAAAAATTGAAGAAACTAATGTATGTGTTGAATCTATATTTTTTTGATAAGATCCAAAGAAGTTAAAGCTTAATGAATAATTTATAAGTATACAACCGATTAAACTATTGTTGAACGAAGTAAACGTAACATCAAAATTTCATATACTGTACTGTCACTTCATTCATGCAAATCATTTTTTAAAGGGATGCAAAGTATGCATAAAATACATATCCGATAATGAATCAAAGTAACTAAAAACAATTTTTGTTTTCAACAAGGATCAACCAAAAATATACGACTCTAAGTCTGGATGCTAACTAATTTAAGTAATTACAACAATTTAAGCGATTAAAACACAAAAGCAACTATTATTGCTATTGTAAATATTTTGAATTCAATAATTACCATGTGCTTAAATTATCTTTCAAATTTATTTAGAAATACTGTACGATAAGCCTTCAATCAGGTTATTACCAATCTACTAGAGTGTCCAGGGTACTGCTGCTCTAACTGAAAAATTCTGCTGCAATTATCGTTAAATTAGCAAAATCTGTGGCGACGTATAAATAATACTTTAAAATACAAAATTACAACAAAAAGAAATTCTAAAGAAAATTTCAATTTCATCACAATAGGCATATTCACCAATAAATTTTATTCTGCTCGCAGAATTCTGTGCGAATTCTGCGCAGATTCTGCCACTGCAGTACCCTGAACACTCTACAATCTACAATACGGCTTCATTGATGAAGTATAAATGCCTATATGCATAAGTAAAAAAAACCCCTTAATTATAATACAATCAACTATAGATATACAGAAAATTTGGATACAGAGTATAACCTCGATATAACGAACTTCGATAAACTGAATCAGCTGCTATAATGAAGAGTTTTTCTAGCAAAAATTATGGATTCATTATAGTAAGATACCTCAATATATCGAAACCTTGATATATCGAACAAGACACCCCAGCTCCAGAGCTTCGTTACATCGAGGTTAGACCGTAATTCAAAGATAGTCATGTAATGGTAAAAACTAGAATAATTAATTGGTAATAGCATTTGTATTGCATAATTAATAATAAAAATTCACTGATTAATAACGTATAATACCAATCCGATATATTCTATTATAATTATCATATCTCGATTTTTAGTAATGAGTGAATGGCTTATTTTCATTTTTATCTGCACTAACACTATGTTCATAGCAATAAGCATGTCAAAATTTTCCATCAAGATCATTCATACCTGTAGACTTTTTATGACAAATGAATGTCTCTTTTTAATTCCAGCTCCAGAATATTCTGACCAGATTATTCATATGAGTGCGCGAGAGTGAAAACCTGAAAACCGATCATAGTAAATCATTAGATCGGTTTCCAGGTTTTCACTCTCACGCACTCATATCTACATTTTTCTGATAATGAATAAATGCTTCATTTCATCTTTCTTAATTCCAATTTCATGTTTATAAAAGAA